CCCCTTTGTGGTGTCTGAATCCATGTTATCTGGTGTTATAATTTTGCTCCATTTCCGTGTGCTTCACTAGTCTGTGGTTGATCATTTTTTTCCAATATTTTACCTAGAATCTCGAGTAAGGAAATTACTCTGCAATTTCCTCTTTGAGTTGGTGGTTTACCTGACTTCTGAATCAATCTGATAGTTGCATTCTTGAAGAAAGCGGGGAATAGTCCAGACGCAAAGAGCTGCATTTAATATTTGCATAAAGTGATGGATTGTCGTCAGTGGAAAGTTTGTCATTGCCAGTTTGTTGAATTTGCTAATGCCGGATGACTTGTTCTTATAACAATTAATTGTTTCTTGGACTTTTTCGATGGTTATGTTCTTCGTTAGGTGGCCTTTTCTCATCTGGATCTTACCTGGAGAGGTGTCTAGGGTTCGTCTGGACCAAGCTCTCACAAGTCGAGCCTTGTGATAACTTGGTCCAACAGGCTATTGTTTGGAGCGTCCTGCAGGCCCACATACTCGCTGCAGTCTGGTTGGTCCAGCACTTCTTCCAGAAAACTGTCCAGTTTTTTCTTGAAGTTCCGGCTATATTTCGTATACTTGTGGGGATCCTGAACAACCCACGGGAGACATCTCCCGTCACGCAGGGTGCAGTCGCGCCTCCACAGATCTCCAGTAATCAGCTCTTGATACTGGTAATGGCTCAAAAGGGCCACCACTTACGGGCTATTCATGCCCGTGCCACCTTTTGGATGGCTTAATCTTCATCAATCAATCAATCCTGAACAACCAGTGTTCTCTGATTGTGCCTATAGCACCCCTACTCTTCACTGGTTCTATTCCATATTTCCTGCCATATAGGTTCCTCCAGTATATTGTTATTTTATTGCGCAAATTTGGGAACTGGTTTTCCAGTATTTGCCACGTGTACATATTATGTGATGCCTTTCTCCTCTTCTTTCCAGAGAGAACATTTTGAGAGCTTTAAAACGGTCCCAATAATTTAGGTGTTTTATCGTGTGTGTGTGTTTGTATTGGGAGTAAAGTTCCTGTCTTCCACAAGACGTAATTTTCATTGTTGGAACAATTGTTGACATTTTCCTCAGGGGTTTATATTGAATATATTTTACTAATACATGATGATTTCTGGTTCCTGTCCTGTCTTCATTAAGCTTATTTACATGTTTATAAGCTTAATGGATATTACTAATAAGGCATTGTTGATGTAGGGAGTTTCCTCAGTTCCGAGTCCTGTTATAAATGAAGCTATAAATATCGTCCATAGCTGTTATTAAAAAAACAAATTTAGTTATGACTCTAGGTAACATACAGCAATTAATTTTATTTTGATATTAACTCCCGTTGTTTATTATTGCTGTTTTTAATATTGACATTTGTAATAATGGAGTTGTTTGCAAATACTATCAATTAATATTGCTTGGTTTTATACATAGCCTTCCCGGCTTGGTGCCTTCTTTTGATAATTACTTGGATGGTTTTATAATCTGATTATCCAGATATCCAGTCGCCTGGATGCCTGTCCCGGGGCGGGGCTGGGGGACTGTGCTCACCAGGATGTCCCCCGTTGTAGCAAAAACACATTAACTATAAAAAGCAAAACACTACTAGTTAAAAACTACAAAAGTATGTGTGTGTGTGTGTGTGTGTAGGTTATTACGAAACATGACCACGAGGACCCGGCGACACTTGTGTCTGTGTGTACGAGGTTACACACGAGGCTACCTCCACTTGGACACCCACTCGTGTTCTTGGGAGACTGCCGCCGCAAGTGCTCCAACATTTAGCAGGTCAAGTCCGCCAGGGCGTAGGTGGACGAGGCGGTAGGTGGACGAGGCGGTAGGTGGACGAGGCGGTAGGTGGACGAGGCGGTAGGTGGACGAGGCGGTAGGTGGACGAGGCGGTAGGTGGACGAGGCGGTAGGTAGACGAGGCGGTAGGTGGACGAGGCGGTAGGTGGACGAGGCGGTAGGTGGACGAGGCGGTAGGTGGACGAGGCGGTAGGTGGACGAGGCGGTAGGTGGACGAGGCGGTAGGTGGACGAGGCGGTAGGTGGACGAGGCGGTAGGTGGACGAGGCGGTAGGTGGACGAGATGGTAGGTGGACGAGGTGGTAGGAAGACTGGGGGAGTAGGGGGGTAGGTGGAGGAAGAGGTTATGTAAAGTTCAATGGACTATCCACTGAGGATGTTAGCGTGGTGGTGGTGGTAGTGAAGTGGGAATCTGGTGTTGGGTTAGTTGGTTAGTACAGTGCTGACTAGTTAGTGCTCCAAGTGGACACGAAGCTCTCACTAGTATTTCTGTCTATATCTTAATATAAGAACGAGAAAGAGCAGTGGTGCAAGGGCTGAGTTCTGGGGTATTGATCTTTTCACTGCCCTTGATCTTATTTGACTGACTATTACTCTCTCAACTTTCCGTCAGTGCATGAAAACACATGTAATATGTGCTTTCTGCTTGATACCTGCTTGATGGGGTTCTGGGAGTTCTTCTACTCCCCAAGCCCGGCCCGAGGCCAGGCTCGACCTGTGAGAGTATGGTCCACCAGGCTGTTGCTTGGAGCGGCCCGCAGGCCCACACATACCCACCACAGCCCAGTTGGTCCGGCACTCCTTGGAGGAAACAATCTAGTTTCCTCTTGAAGATGTCCACGGTTGTTCCGGCAACATTTCCTATGCTAGCTGGGAGGACGTTGAACAACCGCGGACCTCTGATGTTTATACAGTGTTCTCTTATTTGCGGCTTTACACACGCCTCCAGGTGCTTGTAAATTCGATTTCTTCGATAACGTATTCGATTTATTCGATAACGTATTCGATGTATTCGATAACGTATTCGATGTATTCGATAACGTATTCGATGTACTCGATAACGGTACCCATATTAGAGCATATTACCCATATGCTCCTGTTCCATATTAGAACACATTGGTCTTAGTGCGCACTTGAAACATGTATACCTTGGAATAACACCCATTTTCTTATAAAGTTTAAGCTGAATTAACTCAATTATGTTACAGCAAACATTGAGACCTTGAGATACTTACCGTGCATATTTACCATTTAGGTTTATGAAGAATTCAAGTCGATTTCTTTTACATTTTGTGAATACAAATTGTTGATTCAAAGCTTCTTACAGGTTTTAGCGTGAGGTGACTGTATGTCCCCCCCCTTACCTCCCTCCCAATACAATAAGTAACTGTAGGTTTCTACTTGCCCCGCTCCTGTGCCAGGTACGTTACGGGCTCACCATAGCCCGTGCTACTTGCAACTTGTTCCGAGTAACTGAATCTATAACAACAACAACAATACTTGACTCCGGAGAGGTCACGACCTCTCAGTAGGGGTGCAGTCGCACCTCCACAGATCTCCAGTATCAGCTAATGGCTCCAAAGGCCCACCCCTTACGGGCTATTCATGCCCGTGCCACCTTTTGGGTGGGTTAATCTTCATCAATCATTACTTGACACGTGAGAGAAGCACAATCCGCCCACAGGTGAGAGTGTGACCTATCATCAGATGCTCGGCTTCCTTGACACAGTTACACGCACTCAAGTTTCACTTTCTAGCTTTATGTATTACATGAACCTATTATCTTCGTCCCTCCTTATAACACACAAAGAAAACGGAATATGCACTGTTCTCACCTAATTGTGCGTATTTAATAGTGCTTGCTTGCTTTAATAGTTGAACTTCGGCTCTTTGGTCCTGCCTCTTGTCTGTCAGTCAACTGGTATACATGTTTCTGAGCCTGAGGATGGTCATTTGCGTACCGAATGCGACGTATGAGGTGAGGAGTTGTGTGTTGATACATTTTTGACAACAACCTACACTTGTGCCTTATACTTACAGCCTTGATCTAGTTTACATCAAGTATATTGATGTATACTACACCTCGATGTAGTATACATCAACTACAACTCACAGCTCTCCAATTACTTTTAAAAATTAGTTTTTTTTTTGTGCGCATTTTTAAAGAAGTTGGTCGATTTAAATGTTTAAGACTGACAGCTTAAATAAACATTTAGATTAGCGGCCATATTGTATGTCTTTAGTTAAGTGTTTTTGACCTCAATAGTTAATTTTAAATATGATATCATTGGCCATCGTTGATATCTTACCTGCGTTTTGTATTATATTAAGCTTATATGAGGTATTATTAACACGGAGGTGGTGATGAATGAGCGGGAGTAACCTTGGGGAAGGAAAGTGGGTGGACGGGTGACCGCCGTCTTAGCATTCACAGCCACACATACAAGCACACTATTACATTCAAAGATGATATTCTTAGCTACAAGGGTCCGCCCGGCGCGCCTACACTGTTTACAAACCAAGATTATCACAGTGGTCTACAAGGAGCACTGTCTTGTCATGTTGTTATTGAGGCTAATATGTGGACTCGTCTAAATGTGCCCAGATATATGTGCTTGTAGGGTCGGGCGCTAGCTCCTGACACCCCCTCCCTATAACCAAACTAAGTCTTTGAAAATGTAATAAGAAATATAAAACGCGTTAAGGCGTCAGACAATAAATAAAAATGATTTTTGAGAATTGATTTTTCAATCAATTGACAACCCTCCCCTGACAACCCTCCCTATAACCACAACCAGCCAATCGGCTTACAACCAGGTTCCCAATGGAACCGGATGAATAGGGGGCGTAGAGGTAATGTCTGGGGGGCCCAGTCAATCTCTTTCCTTTAGGGAATTGGAAGCCAGAAACAACGTGCAGGTCTCTGACTCCCGAGTTCAATCCCCCGGTTAGGTATAGGTTATATATATATATATATATATATATATATATATATATATATATATATATATATATATATATATATATATATATATATACACAAGGGAGAAAGTTGTAGGTCCCTATAGGGTAGCCACCACCATTGTTTATAACAAGACTGCCATCACCCCCTGTTATAATTACCACTAGTTATATCTGCCACTATTATATCCCGTTCCTCGTGATGTTTATGTATCATGGGTTACCTCGTCCTGCAGGAGAAAATATTCTGATTAGAGTAATATGGTTAATTATATATATATCACCCCTATTATAGGTCTGCCCATTAGCTCTATCACTCGCGTAAAGCGCTGTTATGTCATTAAACACCTTAGATTCAATGGGTTTCCTTTGCTACTTTCGTAGACAAACATTTCTCTCAAGTCATCCATAGTTGTACAATTCCGAAGAAAAAATATTTCAATGATTGTTAATTGATTTTTCTGTTTCAACGATGCCATCTTAGCCACTGCGTGTATCTCGCTCTGCTAGACTTGCCGCTGCTGGCACTGGGTGTATCTCGCTCTGCTGGACTCCCCATGTTACCAGTACAGACTGTGCGACACAGTGGTTGCCAGGATTAAGTTGGGCTACCGTTACCTGTGGCAGGTGGCTACCGTTACCTGTGGCAGGTGGCTAGCGTTACCTGTGGCAGGTGGCTACCGTTTCCTGTGGCAGGTGGCTACCGTTACCTGTGGCAGGTGGCTACCGTTACCTGTGGCAGGTGGCTAGCGTTACCTGTGGCAGGTGGCTACCGTTACCTGTGGCAGGTGGCTAGCGTTACCTGTGGCAGGTGGCTACCGTTACCTGTGGCAGGTGGCTAGCGTTACCTGTGGCAGGTAGCTACCGTTACCTGTGGCAGGTGGCTAGCGTTACCTGTGGCAGGTAGCTACCGTTACCTGTGGCAGGTGGCTACCGTTACCTGTGGCAGGTGGCTACCGTTACCTGTGGCAGGTGGCTAGCGTTACCTGTGGCAGGTGGCTACAGGTGACGAATCTCCCAATCCTGAGCACTCCAGGTGCAAACTCTGTGAGCAGGAACTACGGCATGATCTCCCACACTACATCACCGAATGCCCAGTTATTAGACCTTTCAGACCCGTTGGCATGAGGTACCTGGAGCTTTGCAATTGCTTTATTAACTCTCGTGTTCTTAAAGATATCCTCATAATGCAACCCAAATACAGTTCAGACTACTGATCACATGGCCCTGTATGGCTAACCATTCTGTGTGATGGGGATTTTTAGCATCACATAGCTAGTTCTTGACACACACTGTACTCACCTAGTTGTGTTTGCGGGTGTTGAGCTCCGGCTCTTTGGTCCCGCCTCTCAACTGTCAATCAACTGGTGTACAGATTCCTGAGCCTACTGGGCTCTATCATATCCACATTTCAAACTGTGTATGGAGTCAACCTCCACCACATCACTGCCCAATGCATTCCATCTGTTAACTACTTTGATACTTCAAAGTTCTTCCTAACGTCCCTGTGGCTCATTTGGGTACTAAGTTTCCACCTGTGTTCCCTTGTTTGCGTACCACCCGTGATAAATAGTTCATCTTTATCTACCCTGTCCATTCCTCAAGATTTTACAGGTAGTGATCATGTCTCCCTTAACGCTTCTTTCTTCCAGTGTCCTAAGGTTTAGTTCCAGGAATCTTTCCTTGTAGCTCATAACCCTAAGCTTAGGGACTAGGCATACCTCTGAAATTTTTCTTTGTTTTATATTTGACTAGATATAGACTCCACGCTGGAGCCGCATACTACAGTATTGGTCCGACATATGAGGTATACAAGGTTCTGAAGTATTCCTTATGCAAGTTTCAGAAGGCTGTTCTTATCTTCGCCAGCCTTGCATATGCCGCTGATGATATCTTTTTGATGTGGGCTTAGGCCTTCTGCAGTTACCTTCATTCTTATGTTTGTCATTCTCTGTGTACCCCATCCTCTTCATTTCTTAGGTGTAGAGGGGGGGCAGGGACGGAGAAGGTGTAGGGGGGCGGGGAAGGGGAAAGCAGGGGAGAGCATGGAAGAGCAGAGGAGGGCAGGGGAAGGCAGGGGAGAGCAAGGGAAGGCAGGGGAGAGCAAGGGAAGGCAGGGGAGAGCAAGGGGAGGAAGGCAGGGGAGAGCAAGGGAAGGCAGGGGAGAGCAAGGGAAGGCAGGGGAGAGCAAGGGAAGGCAGGGGAGAGCAAGGGAAGGCAGGGGAGAGCAAGGGAAGGCAGGGGAGAGCAAGGGAAGGCAGGGGAAGGCAGGGGAAGAGCAGGGGAAGGCAGGGGAGAGCAGGGGAAGGCAGGGGAGAGCAAGGGAAGGCAGGGGAAAGCAAGGGAAGGCAGGGGAGAGCAGGGGAGGGCAGGGGTCACCTGGTGGCAGGTCACACTGTAAGCCTCAGATAAGGCACTGTGTGGGATTCCCACTCCGTCACGACGCTGTGTGCGCCAACCATAAGAACCAACACTCACCAGTACAGCTTGTAAAAGCACCTTAATCACCTTCAGTGATTAAGTGCTTAATTGCACACTAGTTTCTCTATCAGCTATCTCACCCTTTCCGAGTAAAAAACAGACAAATGTATGTGAATGCATGTGTGTGCATATATATGTATGTATATATGTATATATACGTATATGTGTGTGTGTATGTATATGCATGTGTATAAAGTATATATGGAAGCAGATCAGAATTACATTTCATCTTTGTAAATGCACATTAATGACACTATGTAAAAGACACATTTAACACTATGTAGGGCATACGTAAATCTGTGTATCTATGTATATACGTATGTAGGTTAGCTTAGCACTTTAAAAGCACCGAATCACCTTCTGTGGTTGATTGTTCAATAAACCCTTGAACTATATGTTTAACACATCTCTAACCCTGTCCACGGACAACCCGTTCTCGCAAATTCGTAAAGTCAGTATTGACATATTAACTACGTGCATAGGTGATATACTAAACATAATAGATACCCTTAAAAAGATTCATAGAAAACACCGACCTTACCTAACCTTGTTAGTATGTTAAGATAAGCATCTTATTGCTTCGTAATTACAATTATTACTTAACCTATACCTATTATAGGTTAGGTAATAATTGTAATTACGAAGCAATAAGATGCTTATCTTAACATACTAAGTAGGTTAGGTAAGGTCGGTGTTTTCTATGAATCTTTTTAAGGGTATCTATTATGTTAAGTATGTCACCTATGCACATATTTAATAAGTCAATATTGACTTATTAAATTTGCGAGAACGGGTTGCCATGGAGGACAGAAGAAAATGTATATATGCTGATTAGCATTGTAAATGTGTGGCCACGTCTGTGGTAGAAAATAATAATAATAATAATAATAATAATAAATAAAAAGTACCAGCACCTACCAGTACAAGAACTCTGTAAGGTAAGGCAGGTCCTAGTCAACAACAGTTTCTCCAAAGGTTTTGTTGAAGACGTCATAAGAAGGAAAGTGAAACGCCATGTAACCTCTGAAGAGACAACTAACACAACACCTTTATCCCCTATTAGACTATTTTACAGGAACTTCTTTTCCACAGCTCATAAAACGGAGGAAAGGGTCCTGAAAGATATTGTTGATAGAAACGTTATCCCTACAGACAAAAATCAGAAAATACAATTGACAATTTATTATGAAACCAAAAAAACGGCCAAGCTACTCATGAAAAAAAAACTCCAGACACCAAGCAGAACGCCTTAAAGGAGACCAACGTCGTCTATGCCTTTAAATGCCCACTTGGGGACTGTAAGCCCCAAAGATCTCAGTATATAGGCAAGACAACAACGTCTCTTTCCATGCAATTAACAATGCATAAGCAACAGGGCTCCACCAAGGAACATATACTCTCTTCTCATAACCAGACCATCACCAGAGAAATCTTAACAAACAACACAGAAATCATGGATAAATTCAGCGATAGCAGGAGACTCGACATCAGCGAGGCACTACACATTAAAAATCAACACCAGCAATCAACAGCCATATATATATATATATATATATATATATATATATATATATATATATATATATATATATATATATATATATATATACATAAATACGTGTGTGTGTGTTTTGTCATTTTATTTTATTTAAAATTTCATTTCACAAAAAGGGTTACAACATTGGTTACATGCAAGGTACATATGCACACGCACAGGAAGGACAGACTGGGAGAACAATGAACCGCATGGAGGCGTGGATACGTGGAAAGCCAAACTACTGGAGGTGGCGACTAGAAACTTTTTTAGCCAGCATGTCAGAGAGCCCACAAGGATGAGAGGAAATGAACCAGCGAGACTCGACCTACTCTTCATTCTGAACGACTCCGACGTAAGGGAAATCGGTTTCAAGGCCCCAGTAGGAATGAGCGACCACAGTGTACTGGCGTTTGAGTACCTGATTGAAGGAGCGTTATTGAACTCGAGGAGGGGTACTGAAAACAAAAGGCTGGCTTTCCGAAAGGGGAAACTATGTGGAGATAAGAAAATTCCTAACAGATATAGCATGGGAAACAGCTAAGGGGAAAAACGGCCCAAGACATGATGGACTACATCACGCACAAGTGCAAGGAGGCAGCAAACAAGTTTGTCCCAGTCCAAAAGGAAAACAGAGAAATGAAGATGAGAAACCCATGGTGTAATCAGAGATGTAGGCTAGCTGAGCAGCAAAGTAAAAGGGCATGGAGAAACTATAGGAATAACAGGACACTGGAGAGCAGAGAAAGATACCAGAATGCCAGGAATGAATATGTCAGGATGAGAAGAGAGGCAGAAAGACAATACGAAAATGACATCGCAAGCAAGGCAAAGACTCAGCCTAAATTGCTGCATAACCACATCAGGAGAAAAACAACAGTAAAGGAACAGGTAATGAAATTAAGGATAGGGGCAGAAGGATTCATTACAAACGACAAGTGTGTGAGGAACTGAATAAGAAATTCCAGGAGGTCAACACCTTAGAGCAAGGAGAAATCCCAGAGATAAGAGAGGGAATAGCTAACCAGGAACCACTGGAAGAGTTTGAGATTACCAGCGGGGAAGTAAGGAAGTGTTTACTAGAGTTGGATGTGACAAAGGCTATAGGCACAGATGGAATCTTCCCTTGGATACTAAAGGAAGGAGCAGAAAAACTGTGCCTACCACACTCCATAGTGTATAACAAATCACTGGCAACAGGGGAACTGACAGAAA